CCCCCCCCCTAGCCCGACTCTCAAAGCTCGAATTCTCCTCAAACCAAGTAGATGCTGAACGAGCCCGAAGCGTCAACGGAAAGTCGTCGACGAGGTGCTTCCAAACCCACCATTTATCGTGTTGGCACCATGATCTTGGTTGTGAAGCAATCTAGCTTCGGAAATCGATCTCCAGGGACTGTGCCGTCTCTCGGCCTCTTGCGGTACATGAAGCAACCAACATGTCCAAGTGCACACATGTCCGATGCCCATCTTCACGAGTATCCAACCCACCGTCACATGTTTGATAGCGAAATCTTGGATCGTTTGTTGAACGTACGTAAAGGGCGTATTGGGTGTAATCGATGCAGCAGTGCTCCGCAAGTGCACACACGTCCACCCCCCACCTTCACAAGCACCCAAGTTTCGGATCGCTTGTTTGACGCGCGTGGGCGCCCGCGTCCGTTGGACCAGTACGAATAATAGGAGGTACTGAGCAGAGATTGTTAAGTGTGAAAACAGCAACAAAATGCATACGCCGCCGCCACCGCCGCCGGACGCCGCCGCCGTTTTTATGTTTGGGCCCGTCACGTGGTGTTGTATGGTGTGGTGGCAGGATGGACTACTGGGGGCTCAACTTCGGGCCTGGGGCGGAGTCTAACGACCTGTGCAGGTGACGATTGGAGAGCTTCTGCTACCGCCTTTTCTTTGCCTTTCGTGGCACCCGCCGTGTTAGATGAAGCTACTTCTACCCCCTTGTTGGTGGTGGCACCCGCGTTGTGTGTGTTTTGTTGTGGTGGTGTCTTCGGAGCTTCAGCCACCCAGTACCATCGTTGCCGTTTTTCCAAAGTTTCATCGTGGGCTATGTGGTAAATTCTCGTTTCGGGCGTTTTTGCACACAAAACATTGCTCATTCTGAAGTGTTCGTGAGAGAGAGTTTTTTCGTCATGTGTTTTGTGCTTATTTCACAAGTCAAGGAAAGGGAAATCATTCGCCGTTCCGAAGGGTTCCTCGCCGGAAGCAGTCACTGTATTTATTTATTTATTTTGGTAATCGTTGATCATTCCTTGGAAGGTTCCTGGTGGGCGTGGAAGACGAATCCACCGGAGAGCTCACCCTGCACGAAGCGGGACACGCCTACTCCCTCCGCCAGAGCGTGGGGGACAAGGACGACAACGTCGAGGACTTCGCCATGGAGGGGCTTGAGTACAAGCAGAGGAAGGACGCGCTGGTGAACCAGTTCGGCAGCAAAAAGAAGAAGGCCGCCATCAGGCTTGTGGTCGTTTGAAGTAAACTTTTTGGGATAAAGCATGCAATCTGGAAAGTCGGGTTGGGGTTAGGGATAGGAGCTGCATATCCCCTTCCTGTTCCATTCCACCATAAACTTATTTTCTAGCGAAGGCGTTCGAGGTGTTCTGTCTCTCGTCCGAGTTTTGTCGTTTTTTATTTTGCATGTGTGTTGTGTGGGTTGTTTTTGTTAGCATCGACCGCGCTACAACCGGCTGAGCAAGGAAGTTTCGTCAGTCTCAGTGCGATGGAAAACACAAATGGTTTTCAAGGTCATGATATGGGACCCCGTGAGGGGGCGTCATGGTAGGGGCCGTGCTACCCTCCGGATGATGGACAGATGCCGTAGCAATAACCGACGAAACTTGTGCGCGTTTTACGCGTTTCTACATTAGCATCGACCGCGCTGACTGAATTGACGCCAGTCTTTGTAGGGCGATAAAGAATACGATCACAAAGTGCGTGAGCTTTTGCATCTTTGTGTTTTATTTTGTGTGTCACCAACGGATAATAGTACTTGAGTCCTCCCGGATCAACGAAAACCGGAGATCGATATGGGTGTAACTGGCGCTCGCGAAAAAGCCAACCTTCTTGTTTTTTTGCTGTGGACGACGACAACAAATTGTGTAATTGTCACAGTCATTTCTTTGATATCGACCACCCCGGCCATGAACATTGACTTCCACACGCGTGTTTGGTGTGCTTTCGAACCATCTTCTTTTCTTTTCTCTTCAGGTCTGGAGGCACGGCCTGCTGACCCATGAAGATACGCTTCTAAATATTCATGCGCGTGTTTTTGCGTGTTTTCTTTTTTTTTTTTCTCTTCAGATCTCGAGACGCCAACGTAATCCAGGCGGGTTCGGTGGTCGGGGGCTCCGCCATGTCGCGCGTTCTGGGTCGGGCGTTGAAGGAGAAGGAAGGCGGCGGGGCTAGTGAGCTGTTGCTGTTGCTGGTTTTTGGTTGCTCTTGTCTTTGTGTTGATGGTGGTGGTGGTAGATGTTGCCGCCGCCGCTGCTGCTACCTACCTGGTGCCTTTGTCGTTGTTGCTGTTGCTGTTGCTTTTGCGGTTGTCAATGTTGCTCGTGTTGTTTTGATAGTGATGGTGGTTTGGGTGTTGCTGTTGCCGCCGCCTAAATCCTCGTTGTTATCATTGCCAACACAGATTCATTTTTCGGAGCATGTCCTAAACTTGCGGGCCCTTGCTGTCTGCTTGCTGTACCCGCAGGCGGCGTTGACTCCGCGTCCACCGCTACGGACGGCGCCTTAGCGGCGGTGGAAGAAGCACGCCGTCGTTTCCTCCCCAAGATGCGGAAGGAGGCGTCCACGCCGGAGGGTGTGTACTCCGCCGGCGATATCGCGGGCGCCCAGGAGCTGGAGTCTATGGAGAGGGAGATCGACAGGGCGGCTGAGCAAATTGAGGTGTGTGTGTGTGGGGGGGGGTGTACTCATAGGTCGTGCATGCCGTAGTCGTTAGACCATTGACCTCGCATCCCTACAAAGCCGGGACGAAGCACGCCGGGTTCTCACCGGACCAGGCTCTCGCATCACCAAGCGCGAAGCGCCGTGAGGTATTCGGCGAGTCGCATGAAGGGTGCGCTGCATCCTGCTAAGGGTGCTCGGCATCTTGTGCTTACTTCCTCGCGTACGGATGACAGCTGCGTATGACTTCATTTATTTTCTGGTGCTTTCACTTCCTGAGGCAGTTATGAGGAACTGTGTAACTGCCTCGAGGATGCTTGACCATTTAACAC